GGAGGAGAGGAGAGGAGGAGGAGAGGAGGAGGAGGAGGAGGAGGAGGAGGGAGGAGTAGGAAAGGACTAGGAGGAGGACGAGGAGGAGGAGAAGGAGGAGGAGGAGGCGGAGGAGGAGGAGGAGGAGAGGAGGAGGAGGTAGGGGGGGTCGTTTCAATGAGAGTTAGTTGCGCCCCTGGTGGTGACCCCCCTTGGCAGTGCTTGGCTCCCGCCCGCGCCGGCTGCGCGTGTCCATCGCTCGCTGACAGTGGGTATCTCTGGATTTCCACGTTTCAATATCTGTGCGCCCCTTCCTGGCTCCCTTCCTCCTCCTCCTCCTCCTCCTCCTCCTCCTCCTCCTCCTCTTCCTCCTCCTCCTCCGTGTCTTCCCCTCTTATCCTTTCCTTATTAGAATATACTCCTACTCCCCCCTCAGGCCGGCAGATAGGGGCCGCATCCGGGTGGTCCCATCCTAACCTGTAAAAAACAATACAAAATCATCATTTTTCTTATTTTTTCCTCTCGACATGGACGTCCTGTCGTCCACGGCGATAATCCATTGCAAAAAATACCACAAAGAGCACACGCGCGCGTTCATGTCAGAATCCTACCGAACACCGTGTGTTTGCAAGCATTTCAACATAAAAACATCAAAAACCCAATGCTTTTTCACAAAAATTGTACAAATTTCCCGCCCGGGCTCTCTTGCTGAAATCATAGGAAAACCATAGGAATCTTAAGAATTCGGTCAAATCCAGCGATTTCACGTCATCGCGCGGTGCACTCGCGATGCTCTGTCATGCACCCAGGCCGCGAATCCTGTGCAAAAAATACAACAAAGAGCACACTCGCGCGTTCATGTCAGAATCCTACCGAACACCGTGTGTTTGCAAGCATTTCAACATAAAAACATCAAAAACCCAATGCTTTTTCACAAAAATGCTTTGGGGTGTCCTGTCAGACCGTCGGGCTTCCTCCGGCCACCTCTGGCTTCCTGCGGTGTACCGGGCCATTCTCGACTCGTCTGGCAATGCGTGCGCGGCATTCAACACGCGCTCGCCAGTTCCCGTCGGCAACCGCCATCGCGGCCGCATCAGCTGTACCAAACCGGCTGGCCGGTGTGACTTCGGCCCCCAGTTGTGCCAGCTTTGCTTCTTATGTTGTGGGAGGGCGGGTGGGACTGGGCATGCCATGCTTGACTCGCTCGAGCTGGCTAGCTTGACTCCTACTCCTACTCCTCCTCTCGTATTGCCCTTCCTCTTGATCCTGCTCTTCCGCGTCCTTCCTGCTCCTCCTGCTCCTGCCTCTGGTCGTGTTCCTCCTGCCCCCGCTGCTCCTCCTGTCCCTGGTTTTCCGGAGTGTGGCACTCGTTGTAGCGCCGCGAGTTTTCGTCGACATGCTTCCCCAGCTGCGTTCTGGCGATCGCAAACATGGATCAAGGGGGGCGTGGATTAGCGACGGGTCCCGTTTCCGTGGGAAGTCCTGGATTTCCGCCGCCGAGCGAGGCGGCACTGGCCGTATTTTGGGGAGGGCCCCCCCCCCCGATCGATGGATTTGGCGACCGCGCGCCAGATCCGCGGATCGTTAGCCCATGTCTGCGCGCCCCCGGCGCGTGCACGGACAGGTGTGCTCGCCGCCTCCGCAGCGTGCAGGTGTTGTGCCGACCTGTTCTGGAAAGGCCTGGCACGGGCGGCCGCCTTTATGCAGGAGGGAAAGAAACACACAGACACAATTCATCGTCGACTTTCAGGAAAATATGGGAAAATATGGGCAGTGGGGGGGAAGGCGAAAACCCAGAAAATACACGACAATAGGGGGAATCTTTTGATTTGTGTGCATTTATTCGTGTGTCCCAGGGCCCCTTCATTTATACCTTTTCGGAAGCCGCTCGCCCCACAGGCTGCCCTCGGGAGCCCCCGAGCGGGGTGGCGAGTCGGTGGGGATATCGGGGCCACCGCACGGTTTTGGGACCGGGGTCATTCTCCGAGGGATCACCAGCCTCGAACTTATCCCTATCCCCAAGATTGACACGCTAAAAGGCGATGCCAATCTTAGGGCTGCACCCTCAGAAACTGAGGAAATCCTCAAGATCACCTTTCGTGATGAGGCGAGGCCCAGCATAGGGATAGGGATATGAGTTCCAGGCTGGTAAAAGGGCGTCTCGGAGGGCCGGAGCCTCCGTGGTCCCAAATCCGTGTGGTGACGGACCGTGCGAGGAGGTCTTCGCGGAGTCCGAGGTCGCCGCCGGGGGGCTGCCACCACACGCCCTCTGGGGCCCCCCGGTGCACGCAGGGAGGCTGGGAATCCCTTTCCGGCCTGTGGCTCTCGCCCCGGCGCCGAGCACACTCATTTTGAAATGCCCCAGCCAATGTCGGGCCGGTCGGGCCTCCTCCTCCTCCTCCCTCCTCCTCCTCCTCCTCCTCCACCTCCTCCTCCTCCTCCTCCTCCTCCTCCTCCTCCTCCTCCTACTCCTCCTCCTCCTCCTCCTCCTCCGATTGGGAAAGGGGGGGTTACGAAATCTGCTGCATGCAGCTGGTTTCGGCCTCACCGAGGGGCACATTCCTCGATACATGGGCGCCTCCAGCGCCGGGAGGCGCCGGGAAAATCAGCTACGTGAGCTGATTCTCAAACCCTCCTTTTGCTATCCCCCCCGTTCGCCCGACCCGACAATGCACGGGTGGAAGTGGGTTCGTTTCAAACATGTGGTCATCTGTTCCGCACTACGCGTTCCTCTGGAGTCAAGCAGCGGCGAAGCGTCCTGGCTCGCCTACAGCCCTACCAAACAGTGTTCTAAGAACCTTGTGTGGTTTCCACGACATGTTCTTAGAACATGTCAGGCAGAGTCTGTCTTGTTTTATAACATCGGGTTTATGTTCTAAGAACACTGATTTTGTTATTCAAACATGTTCGGATTCTAAGAACATTTCGTGGTATGACTATAGGAATGCCGGGACGGTCGGTCCCTGCTCAATGGAGATGTGCCAACGACCAGGTGGATGTGCCAACGACCTGGGTGCCGCGTACAATCGCTTTCAAGGTTCCCAAAAGCTACACTGCTGGAGGTCTACACGGGTGGAGGACGGCTTGTCGTCAAAAGCTGTATCACCTTGATGCTTGTTTTGCGTATGACCCCGAAGCTTGAAGCCGCCAGCTGCTACGTACTGATGGCCGCCCCGCTTCAAAGCAGTGCTGTCGCTTCAAGGTCGGCTGCGCGGCAAGATCCCGCGCTGGAGCGGCTGCACGGGAGGAGGGCGGTTCCATCTCGAAGTCGTGTCCCGGGCCTGGCGCCGCGCACATGCTTCTTGAAGCCTCCACTGTTCACTGATGGAGGGCATGTCTCTACCGTACGTCGACGAGATGTTGCGCCACTTTTGCCGCGCATTGTCAGCTATATTGCATTGCTCCTCCCCCCCCCTCCCCCTGATCTTAATATTGGGCACGTGGCAAAGGTCCCTTGGCGCCCCCCCCGGGGCTCGCGACAGAATGTTGCACCACCGAGCCGTTTCGATGAACCCGGGACCGCAGCCAATGTTAGGATTGGGGGGAAGGGGGGGGTGGAAGCGAACATCCATTGCAAAATCGGCTTGCTTTCTTGACACCACCAGGTGGTGCAACATTTTGTCGATGTACCGTATGGAAGCTCATCTGACTCCTAACAGTGCAGGTCCATCGTGCCTCCTTTCTCGTTGGCGTTCGTCGTAGTGAACATTCGCGAGTGTGTCGCTTCAGTACACATGTGTATATGAATATTTCTACAGATAGACAAATATAGGTGTTTTCGATTGTGAGGGGTGGGCTTGCGAGGGGGTGCTTATTGCAAAATCAATGGTACTCGCTGGGTTTACCCTGTTCAGACTCCGAAATGCTCCCCCTCCTCCTTGTCCTCCTCCTCCTCCTCCTCCTCCTCCTCCTCCTCTTCGATACACTTGCGTTCATTCGTTTCGAGCTTTATATCTTCTCCTCCTATTTTGGGGCGGGAAGGTGTGCGGCAGCATGCCTGATGCACCTTGCCGAGGTTAGATTTGGTTTTCCTCCCCCTCCTCCTCCTCCTCCTCCTCCTCCTCCGACGACGACGACGACGACGACGACGACGACGATGACGATTCCCCCCCCCCCGAAAGGTTCGGCGCCGGCTCGGTGGTCCGGGCGTGGTACGGGGACCCAGCCCGCAAGTGGGGCGCTGAGGGCGGGAAGGACGTCACCGAGGCGACCAAGGCGCTGCTGAAGGACGGCAGGGAGGTGCTGGCTTCCAACAGGCTCTTCGGCGACCCCTGCAGCGGGACTGCGAAGGTCCTCTTCGTGGAGCTGCGTCGAGAGGCCGTGCTCAAGACGCAGGTGGGGTGCGGGCCCCTCCAGCTGGTCGTGACCGTGCCGTTCGTGCGCCTCGTGAACCGCCTCCTGTCGGGGCCGCAGCCCTCCGGCGACGCGGCGGAGCCGCAGGAGCCGCCATGACGGAAGGGGCTCTTGTTTTTTTTCTGCTTTGTTGGGCTTTCCGGGGCCCTGAATGGCGCCCGGGATTTGTGACAGTCGGACCGAGGTGCAAGATCGAGGTCGGGTCGAGGAGGGCATCCTCATGTTCTTCGTGTCTGCTGTAACGTATTGTGCATTCTGAGGAGGGCACCCTCGGATGTTCTCCAATTTGGGCCAGCGGAAGGTCTCACGTGTTTGAAGGATGTTATTTTGTCTTAGGTCTGGCTGTATCGGCGGCGAGCGAGGGGGAGAAGTGAGAAGGAGAAGGCCTTCTCAGAAGGCCGCGGGACTTCTCAGAAGCCCTCGCGCCTGCTGAGAAGTGTTCTGTGTCTTCGGGGAGGCTCAGTCAGAAGACTTCTCAGACGGCCTGGCACTTCCGCGCCCTCTGAGAAGGCCTTCTCCCTCTCACTTCCCCCCTGGGCTCGCCACCGATATGAGTAAACGACTCTGGGTGAAGAAGTGGTCCTGGGGGAAGGCCCCAGGGGTCCAGGCCCCCTTCCCTCGGCACCTGTTCCCCTCCTGCCGAGCAGGAGGTCGGGAAGCGTGGCGGCATGCTGCAGGCGCTGAACCTGTCCGGCGTCGAGTGCGGCGTGGCCGTGGTGGGCGGCGGCGGCAGGGAGGTCCGGCTGGCCCCCGGCGAGACAGTGCCGCTGGACGCGCTGGCAGCGGGCGAGCAGCTCCCCGCCCTGTCCCTGAGGCTACCCGGGCTCGCCAGCGACCAGGCGGGCGACGCTCGGCGAATTGCGCGTGAGAGTGGCCCTTGGCCAAAGTGACCGTTGGTGTCAGGCCACTGGCGGCGCTTCCAAGGTGAGGCCCGGAGAGATGGGACCCGAAGGACCAGGGGCCTCAAGCAATGTAATGTCAGCCTGGGACCTCTTCCTATCCTAAAGGCCCCATCCCTCAGGGCCTCACCTTTGAACCGGCAACACGGGGGTCCCCCGATCGCTGATGGCGATACAATTGCAGCGGCTTGCGCACCTGGTCCTGGTCCCACCACGCCCCCGCACCCCTACAGCTGCGCACCAGAAGTAATTATTATATGAATAGTTCTCTGATGTTTGGCCCCAGTTTCGCAATTCCTGACGCTCGAACTAATGGAGCATCGCATGCTTTCTGTTACAGAGATGCAAGAAAAAACAAACCTCAATAGTTGTGTCCCGCGGCTTCGCCGCAGAAAAATCCTTAAGATGGCGGGGCATTGCCCACCATGATTATTTGATTGATCATGACGTTGCACAAACCAAAATAACAAACGATAGTCGTTGCGCGCCCAATTGAAAAGCGCGCCCCGATGTCGTGGGCTGCACGCTGACGCACACTCTTGCCCAGGGTCACTCTTGCGTGTGGCCTATGCGATGGCAAGGCGTGACCGACTGCGCGGGCATTGGCGCGGAAGCTGCCCGCGCAAGATGGCCCTCGAGCGGCCTCGCTTCACGCGGCCTGCCGCGCCAGCAGCCTGCGTGAGTCGCCGCGTGAGGGCGCCACGTCGTCGCGGGCACAGTCAATCCACATGGTGAGGAAGAGTGACTTTCCAAGGTTACCCTTGCATCCTTCCCCTTCGGCACATCCTTGGCCGCTTTCGCTGGCCGCGCCCCGCCCGCAGAGTGTCGACATGGCCTTCCAAGGCCCTTGCACCCATGCGTACCGCGCGTCCTCACCGTGCGGGTTGACTGTAGGACCCGTTTCTCTTCGTCGCCCAGGTGGCGGTGACGCTGGAGGCGCTGAGCTCGCAGGCCTTCCGAGGGGCGAGCGCGTGCCGCTACCGCCTCCCTGCCCTGGCCTTCGTCGCTTCGGACCTCCCTGGGGAGGGGAGAGCCGATCGCCACGACTGCCCCGCCCTGGGGTCCTTTTGTCGGGAGTGTGTACATGACCACCGCCTGGAGGATCAATTTTCGGGGATCTCGGCAGGCAGTGTATGTGGACAAATTCGGGCCCCCGGGGGGCAGAATATATCCATATCCATCCACCGCCCGCTGGGGCGCCAGGACGTCGGTTCCCAGGCGTTGGATGTGGATAAATCCCCGCCTCGCATGGGTCCAGCGGATACTTCTGCTCCTGCAAGCTCGCGCCACGCTGCCGCGGCAGCGACCCCCCAGCGAAAGCGTTCGAGGATGCGCGCGACCAGTGGCCCAGAAATCGGGGAGCAGATGAGGACATGCACATGAGATTTCGGAGCTCCACGCGGATTTCTCGGATCGGCGCTGGACCTGGCGCGCGGAGCGCGCCAGGGGCGGCGCTGGAGGCGCCGCCAGGGGGCCCCAGCGCCGATCCGAGCAATCCGCGCAGACCTCCGAAAGCTGATGTTTACACCACTGTCTTTTCCCAATGAACAAGTCGGCTGGCATCGACCGAATCTGCGCTACCTCGGAGAGCCGCGGGATCTTTCGAGGGCTGGACCGACCGCGCGGTGCAGAGAACAGCGCCGGCTTTGTCTAGCGATGTGGACTTGCTGCACCTCTTTCCGACGGCGCGCCGAGGGGGGAAGAGTGTCGGAGGCGGCGGCCGGGGCGACTGATCAGCCCGGGCGCGCGCGTTACAATGCATTCGACCGGGAGCTCCTCCGAAGGCATGGGCCATCGGCGTTCTCGGGCACGGGCATGGCCCTCCCCTGGGCTGCTCGGTGCCATCGCCGCCCCCGAACGTGAGAGGGGGCAGGCCTCCTCAGAGGGCGGGGCGCTTCTCGGGCCCGGGGAGCTGCCGAGAAGGCCGGGAGGGCTCCCGAGAAGCCCCGCCGCCGTCTGAGAAGGCATGCCCCCCTTTCGCTTCCCCCCCCTTGGCGCGCCGCCGAGACTTGCTGCATCGGCCAGCATCGGACGGCCTGCGCTGCTTCGGGAAGCCGGCGGTCGCTCCGAGGGCTGCGCCGTCCGCGCGGTGCAGGAACCAGCGCAGGCGCCGTCGTGACGTGAGCCTGCTGCATCTTGCTGCCCTGCCACGTGCCGGTAGGGCCCCCGAAGGGCTTGCTGGGTCCCTGGCCACCAGGAGGGGAGGAGGAGGAGGAGGAGGAGGAGGAGGAGGAGGAGGAGGAGGAGGAGGAGGAGGAGGAGGCGGAGGAGGGGGGGGGATGTGTCGACCCCCCAGCGCCCATGCATCGCCGAGGGGGGCCCGGTGGCCCACCCCGCCCAGGAGCGCGCGGGTTCTCTACTGGCCCCCCCCTCGACATTTCCCCTCGTGTCCCTCTTGATCGTTTTTTTCCAGGAGGAGAAAACACACAGACACAATTGACCGTCGATTCCCCAGAAAATATGGGAAAATATGGGCAGTGGGGGGAAGCCAAAAACCAAGAAAATATGGGAAAGTATGGGAATCCTTTTATTTGTGTCTATTTTTTGTCTGCCCCTGGGCCCCTTCAAACATTTCCCCTCGTGCCCCTCGTGATCGGTTTTGTTCTTCGTTGTTTTGCCGATCGGCGCGGGCCCCAAGCCCCTCCCCATCCCCCCCCCATGGAGTAGATCTTGGCTGTTTTGTTGGCGCCTGTTTTGAGCTTCCGACCATTGTCGAAACGCCGGATAAGAAAAAACGCTGACTAACATTTCCCCTCGTGCCCCTCCAGGTCTGGCAGACGCGCTGCGGCGACATGCTCGTGCAGGTGCTGATGCCGGAGCCCCCGCAGCGGCTGTTGCTCATCACGTCCACGGTGTCCGTGAGGAACTCCACGCCTCTGGACGCCGAGGCGCGGGCCAAAGGGAGGAGGAGGAGGAGGACGAAGGGAAGGAGGAGGAGGAGGAGGAGGAGGAGGAGGAGGAGGAGGAGGGTGCACCTGTGCAACAGCCCTGCAGGAAGGAGGCTGAGTGTAGAGTTGTCTGCATTGGGGCGGGTCGTGATCCCGATCTCGTCTTCGTCCGTGCGGTAGCGAGGAGGAGGAGGAGAGGAGGAGGAGGAGGAGGAGGAGGAGGAGGAGGAGGAGGAGGAGGAGGAGGAGGAGGAGGAGGAGGAGGAGGAGGAGGGAGGAGGAGGAGGAGAGGAGGAGGAGGAGGAGGAGGAGGAGGAGGAGGAGGAGGAGAGGAGGAGGAGGAGGAGGAGGAGGAGAGGGGAGGAGGAGGAGGAGGAGGAGGAGGAGGAGGAGGAGGGAGGAGGAGGAGGAGGAGGAGAGGAGAGGAGGAGGGGGAGGAGGAGGAGGAGGAGGAGGAGGAGGAGGAGGAGGAGGAGGAGGAGGAGGAGAATGAAGGAGGAGGAGGAGGACGAGGAGGAGGCGGAATAGGAAGAGGAGGAGGAGGAGGAGGAGGAGGAGGAGGCGGAATAGGAAGACGAGGAGGAGGAGGAGGAGGAGGAGGAGGAGGAGGAGGAGGAGGAGGAGGAGAGGGAGACAGTGAGTATGAGGAGAAGAATGCTCGTTAGGGGCCGCTTGGGACTTCGTTGGGGCCTCATGGGAGCTTCCTGAAGGCTTCTTTGGGGCCTCTTGGGGGCCTCATGGGGCCTCTTCCAGGCCTCTTGGGGGTTCTTGGGCCGCCTTAAGGGGCCCTTGGCATGTCTGAAGCCTATGGAAGCCGCCTTGGGGGCATCTTTAGGCCGCCTTGGTGCACTCTTGGTGCGGTCCACGGCCGTCTTGGGGCCCTCTTTGGGATTCCCTTGGGCGATCTGTGGGTCCTCTTGGGCCGATTTGGGGCCCTTCTGGGGGCCTCTGGGCTGTCTTGGATCTATCTTGGAGGCCTCTTGGAAGCTTATTGGACCGTCTTGGGTGGTCGGAAACCCGAACAGGCGAGAACATCAAGATCCTTCAAATACCTGAGGCAAGTCACTGGTGTTGGCCCCCCTTGGGCTCTCCAGGAAGACCTCTTGGAGCTCTCTCGAGCCGCCGTGGGGACCTCTTGGGCCGTCTTGAGGCCCTCTTGGGCTATCTGGAGCAGCCTTTCTAGGCTTTCTTGGGAGGCTCGACTCTTGCTAGAGGATGTCTGTGAAGGCAGATCTGTGGTCCAAGAAATGGGCTGGCGACAGCACTGTTTTTCCCAAGGTCCGAGCCTTCTGATTCAAGTCCAGTCTAGGGCCAAGGCTTCCAGCGGCCCCCAGTCGGCGCCGCCTGGATCCGAAAGGTCGTTGCTGCTCCTGGGGTCGACAAGATTTCAAATAAAGGATTTCCAGTGGTTATCACCTCGGGGCTTGCAGCAGCTTGCGGACTGTTATGCCTTAGTGGAGCTGCACGTGTGCTGACCTTGGCAAGCTCTGGTTGTGTTAGTCACGCTTCAAGCGGGTTGGACCAAGGAGCGAGCGGGGCCGTGGGACACGGCATTCGCAGGCTCTTCGGCGTTGCAGGTAGTTCTATTGAGATTGTTGAGAGATGGGCAGGCGGCCTTCCCATTCGAGCTTGCAGGATTTCCAGAGTGGCAACATGCTCTGGGATGTGAAAGGTTTATATGGTAGTCTTCGTTGGGATTTAGTCCTGGACCACGCTTTGGATTTTGATGTTCTTCTGTGCTGTTTGGCCCTGGAGCTCCAGGTTCACATGGCAGCCAGGTTTGTGAGGGAGGCGGGAGGTTTTTTTCGCAGGCGGTGCAGCCAGGCGCGTCTCTGACTCCAGACAGTAGTGGAGTTGTGGACTTGGGCAGAGCTGCCCTGCACTCCGTCTGTAGGAAAGTTGTCACAGGCCCTCCCCTCCCTTCCCTGCACGCCTGGGTAGATGACATAGTCCAGCGCACGTATGACAGCAGTGATCGAGTGTTTGCCGAGCTGTCGAGCCTAGGCCTGGCCTTGACGCAGGGCCTGCACGAGATCAGGCTCCAGACTTCCCCGCCGTCGGCCAGCGTCGCCTCCCCCTGGGGGCCTGGCCGCGAGACGCGAGGGCCCCTTCGCAGAGCGAGGGGCCCGTGTGCAGGCCGAGGAGGTCGCTGCCGACCAGGGGGGAGGAGGAGGAGGAGGAGGAGGAGGAGGAGGAGGAGGGAGGAGGAGGAGGAGGAGGAGGAGGGAGAGGGTTATGGGGGACGGGGGGAGGAAGGGGGGGCGGGGCCACGGGGGATCGAGAGAGGCCAGGGTGAAGGCCGGCAGGCCCACGCAGGCCCGTCGGAGGGCCGTGGCGGAGCGCGGGCCCCGGCGCCTCGGCAAGCCAGGCTCGAGTCGGGCCTGCCCCTCCACAGGAGGAATCTCTAAGAACAGTGAAAAAATCCAGATTTCGTAATCCTCCTCCTCCTCCTCCTCCTCCTCCTCCTCCTCTCCTCCTCCTCCTCCTCCTCCTCCTCCCCCTCCCCCTCCCCCTCCCCCTCCCCTCCAGATTTCGCAATAAAGGGAGGGGGGTCTCATATCGGGGGGGGTCTCTTCCAGGCTATCTTGGAGGGCCTGGGGGGTCTGGGGGACGATGTTTTGGAGGGTTCTCCCACGGGCGAGGTCTGAAATGGCTTGTCTTGGAGGGTCCAGACCCCCTCCCTTCTATTACGAAGTCTGGAGTAGTCTGGGGACGATTTCGTTGACTATGTTTGCCCATTGGGGGGGGTATGTTTTTAGTATGCTTTATTTTTAGCCCAGAATCCCCCTGTAGGGGGGACACGCCCGACTGAAAGCTAGGCCAAGGCAACTGTCGTTGCAAGAAGTGGGCCAGGATAATGGCGATGACCTCGGCTTTCTCCGAGGCGCGTTGCTCTGGCAAGGTCCATGGCACCCCACCCAGTGTTGCTCTCAGTTGGCGCAGGGCCCTTGGGAGGCTTAGGGTAGGTGCCTGACGACCTTGCTGGCGCTGGAGTATGGTCGTCGAGACCCTGCTTTCTTTGCGATGTTTGACACGATTGAGGCTTGGTTTCAGATGCTAACCCACCCCCGTTTCGAGTTTGAGAAGGTCAGGCGCGTCCGGAGAAGAGTTTTGGCGCGGCCCGAGTCGAAGCCAGCAGGAAGTGGATGGCAAGGAAAAGGCACCACGGCGGCCGCCACCATTGCCACCCTGCTCGGTGTAGGTTGGAGACCCCGGGGGCCGTGGGCCTGGGAACGCGACCTCGGCGAGCGGTTCGCGATCTCAGAGATCAAACTGGGGCGTGGCAGGGCTAATTTGGCAGACGCGTTTGAAGCCCTGGCCCAGAGTAAGGAAAGGCAGTCGTGGGAAGCTGCAGCATCCAACTCGTGGAACGGGCAGGGTTTCGAGCTCGTGTCTGACCTGTATGATTTCAAGCGCCAGTTAAAGTGGTTGGCGCAGGAAGGCAAGTTCGAATGGAGGGGGGTCTTGCGGGCTGTGGCTACTGGCAACAGTTGGCCACGCGCAAGACGTCAATAATGCGGGCTGACTCAGGGCAGTTCTTGCAAGCGTTGTGGTGAGCCTGTGGAGTGCGACGCGCGCAGAGCTTGGGCCTGTCCTGAGAGCAGCAAGCTCTCTCAAGTTTCCGATTCCGTCCGCAGGCGTGCGCTGGCAGATTGCGAGGCAAGCCCCAGCTTTGGGCAGCGAGAGCTGACGCCGCGCAGCTGGGCCGCGTGCCCCACCCCAGCTGGGGAAGACTTCCTGGCCCTAGGAGATCTCAGTGGGGCGTCGGTGGGTGGGTTCATCTTTGGAGGAGATGCTGGTGGTGGGCCTGATTCGCAGGACCCAGCACTGCGTCGAGTTGCCTGGTCTTGGGTTGTTTTAAGGGCCTCCGAGCTGGGTGGCAGTACGATCCCAAGTCACTCAAGGCACATGCTGCGGGTTTGGGGAATCCCCCAGGCTTGCGACAGTCCGTCAACAGGGGGAAGCGATGCGCTTGCTGTAGTTCCTGAAACCTGTCCCCCTTGTTGCCGGCGCATTCGTTGTGCCTGACTCTTCCTGTGTGGTGAACAGGTTCACTAAGATGCCGCACGAGTTTTACCTGAAGTCCCACGTGGATGTATGGCAGCGCATCAAGGACCTAGTGGCCGAGCACCCCACGAGAGGATTTGTCTTGGCGAAGGTGGAGAGTCACGGGGCTCTTTGCGAGGTGAAGGACTAGGGAGCCGACCCACGACGTGTCTTCTTGCATGAGATGGCCGACAAGATAGCCAACCAGTGGGCTGAGAAGCTCCGAGTGCCAGAGCAGTATCGAGACAGCAGGTCCCACGCCCAGGCCATCGCGTTCCACGTCCGCCAGTACCTGGGCCACAGCCTGCTTGCGGCGATAGAGACGGAAGAACATCGATCGCCGAGTATGTATGACCACCCTTTGGCCCAAGGTCAGACATATTGAATATAAGCTGTTGCTTGCGGCACATGAGCCAGTTAGAGATATCGGCTCCCAGGGCAGATGTCACACTTGTGGTGGCAGTGCGCCTTGCCGCCTTGCGAGCAAGTTTTTGGGCACCCCTTGCCTCCAGGTTTTTTTGTCAAGGAGGTGGTTATGGTGCCAGCAAAGAGCACAGTCTATGGCACATATTCGCATAGCTCCCATACCCTGGCCGCCTACCACCGGGAGTTTGGGAGCACTGTCTGTCTTGCCGGTGGTTTTGTGGCCATCCAGGCCGTGAGGCATTTGGCTGCTGTGTGCAAGCAGCGTCGTAATTTCCATGGCAAGAGGCAGCTGTCCAAGATGCAGAAGGGACTGCCACCAGGCTCGTCCAAGCTTGCCAAAGATCAGAGGGCCTAGAAGAAGGTTCTCAAGTAAACAGTTCAACTCTGCCATCGGCTTGAATGCCAAGGTTTTTTTCGGGGGCGCGTACGTCGAATGGGGGGGGGAACTCAGCAGGACTTCCCAGACAACAGACAACAGACACGCGTTCTAACACGCCCACTCCGTGCAGGCACGCTGGCAGACAAGGATTGACCTTCATTTCGGGACGAGCCCCGTTGGAAGACAGTCATCTGGAAACTTGAACCTTGCCGAAGCATCACTCTTGGGGCGCCGACGTCGTGAATCAACGCTACTGCTGCGACCCGACGATCCTAAACCGTGCCAGACCACCATGTCTGGGACGCCAGCACCGCGAATCGAAATGAATGTCGCGCCCTGGCAATCCTATATCGTACCAGGACCTACTGTAGGGTCTGAAGACGAAGGTGCGCGGCGCTATGGCGAGCGCCAGATTTTGACAAGGAGACGTCTTCCATCCGTGAACCATTTGCAAGCGTTTAAAATGAAGATGGGCGGCGCAAGTGCGATAACCACATTTTGAAAAACGGCCCACCCTCCATCCGTGAAACTATTGCAAGCTTGTAAGACGACTGGGCGCAGCGTTCAAGCGAGAGCCACATGTTGAAATCTACCCGCCCTCCATCCGTGAAGCTCGTGCAAGCTTTAAGACGCATGTGCGCTGCGCTAAGTCGGCAGCCACATTAAAAAAACCATCCGCCCTCCATCCGTGAAGCTGTTGCAAATTCAAGCTCGATGATCATAAGTGGTGCGCACGTCTCAGCCGACAGGGAGGAGTTGTTTATGAGGAAGAGGGGTGATGAGGGAGGGGGGAAACGGAGGGGGGGGGGAGAGGATGGCCAGGAGGGAACATGATGTGAAAATGTGGAGGGAGGGCTGGGAGGAGGAGGGAGAATGGATGAGGGCGAAGAGGGTGCCCATTTTGATGTTGGGCCCGCCCAGTGCGCCGGTTAAGGTCCGCCTGGCCCGCCTGTTGGGCCCGCCCGCCCGTTAGTGTCCGCCTGCCTCGTTTGTTTTTGTCTCTCGCTCTCTCTGATCCCTCCCTTGGCCCAGACAGGTGCGGTTCCTGAAAGCCTCTGGGGACACCATCGAGGCGCCAGCCGCGCCCAGGCGCGATTGGGGGGAGGGGGGGGAGAGGGGAGTAGGAGGACGAGGGGAGGATGGAACGGGGATGGTCATGACGGCGGTGACGGTTGTGATTGAGATGGTGATGACGATGATCATGGCGATGGTGATGGTGCTTGTGCTGGTGTAGGCGAGGAAGGCGATGACAATGATGATGATGATGATGATGATGATGAAGATGATGATGATGATGATGATGATGATGATGATGATGATGATGATGATGATGATGATGATGATGATGAGATTGATGATGATGATGATGATGATGATGATGATGATGATGATGATGATGATGATGATGATGATGATGATGATGATGATGATGATGATGATGATGATGATTGATGATGATGATGATGATGATGATGATGATGATGATGATGATGATGGTGGTGATGATGATGATGATGAAGATGAGGAATGCGGGGGGGGGACGGGGAGAGGTAGGATCAGCAAAAACAAGAGAAGAGGATGAGGAGGAGGAGAGGAGGAGGAGGAGAGGAGGAGGGGTGGGGGGAAGAGGAGCAGTAGGATAGGGAGGTGGGGCCACAAGAGGAGGAGGATGTGGAGGAGGAGAGTGGAGAAGGCTGGATGACGCGGAGGAGGAGGAGGAGGAGGAGGAGGAGGAGGACGAGGGAGGAGGAGGAGGAGGAGGAGGAGGAGTTGGAGGAGGAGGAGGAGGAGAGGAGGAGGAGTTGGAGGGGAGGAGGAGGAGGAGGAAGGAGGAGGAGTTTGGAGGAGGAGGAGAGGAGTCCCGTCGGCGGCCCCGCTCTAGGCACACGCCCGCCGCCACCCTGCAGGCCCCGAAGAGGAGCCGTGCGGCGGGAAGGGCCACACCCCCTCTTGTTCCTGCCCTGGATTGGCGGCGGCCGCTTGCGGATTCCCGCTGCGGGGTCCCTGTGCAGAGGAGAGGGCGGACGGGTCGTGCCCCCCCCCCCCCCCCCGGAAACGAAACGAAAGGGGGGGGGGGGGCACAATAGTCCGCCCCCTCTCTTGTTCGTGCTCTGGATTGGCGGCGGCGGCGGCTGCTTGCTGATTCCCGCTGCTGGGTCCCTGCGCAGAGGAGGGCGGACAGGTCGTGCCCCCCCTCCTCCCATTAGCGACAGGGAGGGGGGGACACGATCTGTCCGCCCTCCTCTGCGCAGGGACCCGGCCGCAGGAATCGGCAGGCAGCCAGTGCAGCGGGCGGCGCGCCCGGTGGGGAGGGCAGAGAGGGGCGGGCCTTCTCGGGAGGCTCAGCAGGCCTCGGGGGCCCTCTTGAGCAGGCCTGCGCCCCCGCAGCTTCCCTCCTCGGCGCGCCGCCGAGAAGAGGAGAGGGGGCGATGAGCAGAAGGAGTGGGCAGGAGGACGGGAGGAGGGGGGAGGGAAGGGGGAGGAGAAGCAAGGGAAAAGGGAGGTGAAAGAAGTTAATGAGGAGGGGCAGGAGGAAGGATGATGAAGAGGAGGAGGAGGAGGAGCGGGAGAACGATGGACAGCGGAGGGAGGCGGAGGAGGGGGAGGAGGAGGAAGAGGATGTGGGAGGAGGGAGGAGGGGGGAGCGACAGAGGAAGGGAGGACGAGGAGGAAAGAGGAGGGAGGACAAGAAGGAGGCGCACTGAACAACAACAACAGACGAGGGGGAGGAGGAGTTTGCAGGGAGGCGGAGGGGGAAGCAGGAGAGGGGTGTACGGTAGGTTCATGCGGTATTGGCGTGCCGGCGACCCTAGCGAAGGCGTTCAAGCTTGAATCCTGCGACGCGGAAGCACCGATGGGCACGCTAACGCCGCTGGGCCTGACCGAATTCAGCTCTGAACGATCGGGGCCACGATCGATTCAAGGTCGAACGATCGACGCGGTGTCGAGAACCGCTGCGCGCGCCGACGCCGCGCGAACCTGCCGTAGGAGGCAGGGGGGTGCGGGTCCCCGAAGCAGGCGAAGGTTTCTGTTTCTGGGAGGCGACCGCCCTCTCCGGCCGCCTGAGGCCCCGCCCGCCTGTGCCCTGTCTCCCCAATCAGAGCTGTGCGTAGCCCGCCTAGCTTTTAGCGGAAGAGGTTCGCTCTCGCCCCGCCGACCAACAAGTTCTGGGAGGCGGGGGTGAGGGGGGGGGAGGGGCAGGTGGGGAGCCTCCGCAGGACCAGCGGGCCGCCGCTGCGCCGGGAGGCCAGCGTGGCCACCAAGGAGCGGCCTCCCGCCCTTCTGTCTCCTCCGCTTCCGCAGGAGGAGGAGGAGGAGGAGGAGGAGGAGGAGGAGGAGGAGGAGGAGGAGGAGGAAGAGGAGGAGGAGGAGGAGAGGAGGAGAGGAGGAGGAGGAGGAGGAGGGGGAGGAGGAGGAGGAGGAGGAGGAGGAGGAGGAGGAGGAGGAGGAGGAGGAGGAGGAGGAGGAGGAGAGGAGGGAGGGGAGGAGGAGGAGAGGGAGGAGAGGAGGAGGAGGAGGAGGAGGAGGAGGAGGAGGAGGAGGGGGGGAGGAGGAGGAGGAGGAGGAGGAGGAGGAGGAGGAGGGAGAGGAGGAGGAGGAGGAGGAGGAGGAGGAGGAGGAGGAGGAGGAGGAGGAGGAGGAGGAGGAGGAGGGAGGAGGAGGAGGAGGAGGAGGAGGAGGAGGAGGAGGAGGACTGGCGTGACGCCGCAATTCCGAGGGTTTGAATTCCGCTCAACGTCAAAGGAGGAGGGATGACGGCGTCTGACGACACCAGCGCCACTAGGTCACAGTCCACAGGAGGAGGAGGAGGAGGAAGGAGGAGGAGGAGGAGGGAGGAGGGGAGGAGGAGCGGGGGGAGGAGGAGGAGGAGGAGGAGGAGGAGGAGGAGGAGGAGGAGGAGGAGGAGGAGGAGGAGGAGGGGGAGGACGAGGAGGACGACGAGGAGGACGAGGAGGACGAGGCGGAGGAGGTGGAGGTGGAGGTTGAGGAAGAGGAGGAGGGATGGCGGCGTCGGAACGACACGAGCGTCAGTAGCTCACACCTCAAAGGAGGAGGAGGACGAGGAGGACGAGGGGTAGAGAAAGGGTCCGCTTAAAAGTGCCCTCTCGCAGGAGTCACTCATGGTGCGGGCTCACATGCCCCCCCCCCCAGCGCTGGCTTGCACGTTTGGAATTGGTTATCCCGTGGCCGCCTGAAGCCGCACACCAAGGGTCGCTCTTGCCCACGGTCACTCTTGCGTGTAGCCGAGAGGAGGAGGAATGATTCTTAGATTTGTGGCTCGAGGGTTGTCGTCGATGTCCGATTCGTGGGTTTTTAATGGGGCCTCTGGGCAGGCAAACATCGTTGCTGGCCGAAGCAACAAAATGCCAATGCGGATCCTGGGACAAACTGCGGCACCCCAGGGTATCTCAAACTTGTGCGCGGCATGGCTAAACTCCTGGCCGAGTGGCCAATGCTCCAAGAACAGTTCGGAGAACTTAGTGCAGATGCGGTCGAAAGAAGGCCCAGCCCTCCCCCACAGAAGGCCCACGAGTGGGTCTGGTGGAACTCAGCTTCAAAATGGTGGTGCCCACGCTGCCTGAGAGGTGGGGGCCCTGGGACCAGTAGGGCGTGCAACGAGCTCAAACGAACTCTTCTGGCCCGTGTGGCGTCGGTGATCCACGAAGTTCGCTCCTGCTCCTGAGGTTGCTTGTGGTGCGGGTGCGCCTCTCCTGTTCCTGAAGCGGAATGCGATACTGTTGAGTTTCTGGCCGCGTGGGCCCCTGCTGCACGTGGTGAGGTTCGGGGTGGTGGGCATCAGGACCAAGGGTGCCTCCACCTGTACGTGTTTGTGCTGAGCTTCCTGAAGATCGTCTACTTCATGGTGGTGGCTGCTGCCCTCGTGTGGTTTCTGAGCCTCTTCTGCAGGCTGGTGGTGTTCGTTGTGAGGCGGCTGTTGGGGTAATTGCCCGTATTCTGGCGAGGATCGTACGCCTTCATCTGCAAGTTGCGGGGTGGACAACTCATAGGGAGCCTGGTCGTGATCACCGAGAGCCTGCTCAGGGTCATGAGTCTGGTCGTAACGGCGTTGCCCCAGACCGTGCGCGTCCCCGGAGGGTCCAGAATATCAGATTCAAGGACCAGGGCCCAGAGTATGTGGATGAGGCAGAGACGATCACGCTTTTCGACCTGTGTGGCGGAGACCTGTGGCCCCTGGAGGTGTTCATCGGGAAGTGCGTTGTGGTCCTGGAAGATGGGCGCACCGGGCGAACTGGTAAAGTCGCCGCTCCGGATGGTGACTGACTGCATTTTGCCATGTACCCGTCTGGCGAGCTAGCCACAGTGAGCGCGAGAGTCATCCGAGAGGTCGGCGACCCCTCGGGCACACGGCAACGGGAGGGGGTGTTGGTCGAGTATTGGGCACAGAGTCAACAACGCAAAGTATTTCGGACACGATTTCAAGTCCTTGTCGCGTTGCGGTTTTCACCTTGCTTCAGTTTCTCGTTTTCGCCGTGCTCCACCTTACGTGTGCTTCGGTGGCATGCGGGCCCTGGCCTCCCTAGAGGGGCCTTCTGTAGCACTCAGGATGTTTCGCTCCATTCCCCCCCAACAGCAATTGCTGCTGTTTCTGCCGCTGCTCCTCATTCTCCTCGTCGTTGTCCCCCTCCTAGCCCACTTAGCCCGAGAGATTGAACCAGTGGCCGGCCAGCGTCGCATGATTCATCTCCATAACTCGCGCCCGCTGAACCTTCCCGCCGCGGCGATGCGTTTTCTCTTGGGTGTGTTTTGTATGTTGAAGCTTCTGCATTGGACTGCTCAGAGTGCGTGCCAAGAGGAGAGGCTTGTGATATGTCAGCTGGGTTGCGCTACGTTGACGTGATCTGCCTGAGCGGAACGATGGAACGCGAGATAAGCGACTCCGTGTACCGCACCGTCCTTCCTTGCCACACGGCGCTCACAACTCCGTGGAGACCAGGGCATCACACCCACAAGAGCTGTGGCACCACGTATTTGCGCAGAAATCGGGGTTCCGTGACCAGCACAGTCGACGTGCCGCTTGTCCCTGCCAAGGTGAGGGGTCGAGCAGCTACTGCGAGGCTGAGGTCAGGCCGCTTTGTCATTGTGACTCCTGCGGTCTACTTCCCGCCACGGCCGTCGAGCAAGAAAGAGGTTCGGGAAAACGGGGACGGCTACACGCACCTGCAGTCTCGCCAGACGTTCGACGCGTTGAGCGATTGGCTCGAGAAGATGCTGACGCTTGCGAGCAGCAGGAATGTTGTTTTTTTCCCGACTTCGACGTGACCGACGGTCTCGGGCTGCGTGCACGCGCCAAAGGCGTGATCGAGACAATTGCGTCGCCTGCGCTGGGCCCCCATGGCCTGGCGCTGCAGCGCCACGCTGGCAACAGAGTTCTCGAGCGCTACGGGGTGACGGTGATTTCGAGCGACGTCGATGTTGGACCGACGTATTACGGCGTCCGCGCGGCTTCACACATTGACCACCTTGCGGTGTTCAGCTGGTAGGTTCCCTCGGCGCGCGCGCCGTGTCGTCGCGCCGAAAACGTCGAACCTCAGGCTCAAGCTTATCCCGAGGCCTAGAATGCAGGAGCGCGTGCCGTTGCTCCTGGATGTGATCTACATGTTGGAAGCCCCCAACGCTCCGCCTCGAATCCGTTTGGATTTTGCCAGGTTTGGCAAAGCTCTTCGCAGCGGGGAGGTTGTCAGGCAGTTTGCTCAAGAGCTAGACACGACCTTCGCCACGCACCCCAACTATTTCGACTTGCTCTACTCCGAGGCGGCACCTGATGAGGCCTAGGAGCGCCGGATGGAGACGGTCTCCGAGACGGCGCAGCGACGCTTCGCAGGATCACCACCTGAGAAACCCCGCATCGTGCGCATGCGTGCTGAAAGGCTCTCACTGCTGGCAGCTCGCCGCCGGATCCGCGAAGACGGGTTGAACGCACCCGAGACGTCGCTCGCGCGTGCCTCTCGTCGACTGCGCGCCCGCCGTCGTGCTCCAGTGGAGTAGGAGGAGGTTGCCGTGCTCGCCGACGATGATGACGAAGACGACGACGATTCTCCGCGCGCTGGACCCGCGCCCGGTCATAGGACCCTTGGAGATCGACGCCGACTGGGGCGAGGCGCCGAATATGCGTCCGCTCCTCTCGCTGAGATGGCGCCCAAATGCATCGTGGATCATATCCGCCGCGTTCGACGAGTTCCTGCGGCGCGCCACCGCTCGGCGACGACGTGCCTTGACGAAGGCGCAAAAAGTGCGGGTTCCATGCCGGGCGCTAGATCCATGGGCTGCGCCGCATGGGCGCGTCGCGGTTCATGGCGCAGCCGCAGCGGGCCCCCCGCAAAGTGCCTCCCCCTCGCGAGCGCGGTAATCGTCGCGGCCCCAATTGAGAGCATGCGCTGCTGCGCGAGGAGGATCTATTCCAGCGACTTCGACGGGGCGGCAGCTCCACGCCGGCGGCCAAGGACGGCATGGACAATGCGTTTGGCCCAGCCCACTTCGCCTCGCCGCGGCAGACGGTGGAGGCGGCCGCGCGCCAAGAGCGGCGGCGTTTATATGTTTCCTTCACCAGCGGCGCGAGATGAGCACGTTCCTAGCGGCCTGCTCCGGCGGCTTCCAGGACCTTTCCGAGCCGCTGCAGAGCCTGCATGGGCCGCGCGCCCGCCGCGTTGTTCTTCGCTCGCGCGTTCCGCGCGCCGATCGGCATCTGGTTAGATCAGCTTTGGTGCGCGGTTTGGCCAGTCGCAGCGCCTCGCCATGCCGCCGTTGCCATCTGCGCTGAGGTCTGACATCGACGCTGTCACCTGGCGGACGAGGCGCTCTGTTCAGCCTGGCCCCCGCTGACCAACGAGTCTGTGGATGCAAGCGCGAGGGTCTGCGCTGACGACGCGAACCGCGCCCGCATCGCTCTGCCCGTTCGCAACGCTGGCTTTGTCTCAGGGCACGCCCATCACGAACTGCGCCGAGCGCTCCAGCAGCACGGGCGCGCGCACAACCATGACCAGAGCTCGATCTCTCCATGCTTTCTTGGCGCCGGCTTTCAGAGACAGGCGCAACTTTTGTCGGTGGCGAGGTGCCCATCCCTGGCGTCGTGCAGCGCGAGAATGTCACACTAGGCATCCAGACGTCGATCACGGGCAGCGCACTGTGCGAACCACGACGGCGGCTCCAGACGGCACGGCGAGGCTTCTACGGCATGGGCCGCGGCATGGGTCGTTTCTGGTCTCGCAACCGCGCGCGGCGTCTGGTCAGGGTCGCGTTTGGCGCGTCGTGCAGGAGACAGCGCTGAGCGGGCTGATTGTATCCATTCTGAGCTCCTCGCAGGAGGTGCGGATCGACAGTGCTGGCCAGTCTCGCGCGCAAGCATCTGTCGGGGGACGCGTGCCAGAAGATTCCCATCCTGGACGACAACGGCGAGCCTCGAACCGCGCGCGCGTCGCCTGCGCCAGCGCCGGCTTTGGATCAGCGCCCCGCAGCAGTGCCCGCGGGAGATCGCGGCTGTCGTCGGCCAGCTGAGGCTACTCTGTAAGAGCGGTTTTTTGAAGGCAGATTTGCCTGCAAAAAATCGGTCTACTCTGTAAGAACGGTTTTTTGAAGGCAGATCTGCCTTCAAAAAACCGTTCTTACAGAGTAGACCAGTCTTTCCTCCTTGCAGGTAGAGTTCGCGGCTCGGCGGGCACGGTGGGCGCATCTGCCAAGCCCATGCGCGCCCAGGTTCGTCGGCGACGTGCAGGCGCCGCTGCGGGCGACGGGGGTGGAAGACTTGCCGGGCGCCCTCCGCGCTCCCGACGGCAAGCCTGAACGCGGTGGCTCTGTTCTCGGACGACGACCCTCGCGATCGGCGCCTCGAGCTCGATCCCGGCGCGCCGCGCGCTCGGGCGAGGGCGGCGGCCGCCCCGCCGCCGGGCCGGGCGCCGCCCGAGGCTGCTGCAGCCCCGCCACCGCCGACGGCCGAGTGGACGCGCGACCCTCTCGACGCAGAAGGCGTCGTTTGCGGTTGCGCCTTCGCGACGCGGCCGGCGCTCCTGGCGCGTCGGAGGTTCCAGAGGCATGGAGGTCATAACTGTCGGTCGCTACTGCGCGCGCTCGTCATTGCATTCCTGTGCGTACATTGTCGATGCGTACTGCGCACGCGGGAGACTACGCAAGAGCTCGCCGTCACTGCCTTCATTACTGAGCAGCGTCATGTGCAGCGGTTGCCCAGCCACCACCCTGTCGTCGAGCCCTTGTCCCTCGTCTGCCCCGTGTCTGGGATGAAGGCCTCGTCGACCAGGGTAGTGAGCTGTTCGGCGTTTGAATTTTCGGTTGCCGAGCCGTTTGATGATCTAGCCCAGCTTCAGGAGCAGCTATTGACCGCGCGTGCTCCCGAGCCAGCCCCGACGCCTGCGCGGCCGTCCGCAGATCTCCATGCCCTTCCGCCTCAGCGGTCGACCCCTGCAGGCAGCGGCAGAGGCGGGCCGCTCCAGGCCCACCCGTCGGAGAGCCGGCCGTCGACGCGGCCGCGGCGGCCCCGCAAGTGCAAGCCGCGGGCCCCCCCGCCGCCGCCAGCCCGGCGCGGGCGCCCGCGGCGACGCCTCGCGCGCGCGGCAATCCCCCGAGGCCGCAGCCGCCGCGGCGCCGACCGCCCCAGGCGGAGCGGCGTCGCCCGGCCACGGCGGCGGGGCGCCGAGGCAACGGCCAGGGCAGGCAGCGGCAGCCGTGGAGGCGTCTCGCAGCCATGGTCTCGCCCCCCGCGCGGTGGACAGGCCCCCGCTGGTGGACGCGCAGCGCAGATGGCCCCGCGCCTGGCCCCCGCCCTCGCTCGCGCCACCCATCGGGAACAGCTTCAACCTCCGCCAGCTGATGGCGACGAACTACCACGGGGACGAGGTGCTGAGGGCGGGCTTCACGGCGGGGCAGGCGCGTGCGATCGAGGCGCGGAAGCTGAGCGGTGTTCACTTCGAGAACCCGACATCAACAAGGCCCCAGAGCTTGCCATTGGCCCCGCTTGCGCCCAGGTGTTCCCGATCGTCGCTTGGGCCATCGCAGCGGCAGGGGATCGCGTCAGAGCTCGCAACAGGGAGCAGTGGGCCGAGGCCTCAGCGAAGTTACAGAGTCTCTCGGCCAGCGGGCTCACGATGCTGGCGCGCGTCTTCCGGGTGTCGAAGCGCCACAGGGAGGGGGCGGCTAAGATGACGACGTGCCTCTCCGGCGATCGTCCCGAGCGCTCATTCGTAGCCTGCGCCGAGCAGCTGGGGTCGGAGATCAAGCCAGGGATGGCCCCGCGCTGACATCAAGAGCGCATGTTACATTAGGTGCTAGACAACCTCGACTTGTGAGCGGCTGCTCTGACGCTAAAGCGAGTTCCGCAGCGGGTCGTGAAACTGCCAGGCGTCGTCTGGCCAGTCGGGATAGCGAGGGTGATGAGGGGCGGGGAATCGCCTCCAGATGCATGCAGTTACCTAACTCCGCTTCTACGGCACAGAGCGTTCATGGTAATGGTCTTGTCTGCGCGGCGTCTCGCACTCCAACGGCGTTAGAGATGAGAGGCAGTGGGGTAGGTGTGAGCACGACGGCGAGTGCGCGGGCGGCGTCCCAGAAAGGTGGTCTGCTCAGATTGGGCGTGTCTACGACGTCCCTCGCTCCCACGGCAACCCTGATTGTTGGTGGAGTGATGCGGGATGACGATAGATATCTGAGTCAGAGGCAACTTCAGGGGAGTAGTGGTAGGGGCAGAGTGCTATGACAGTAGGTCGCGTGTGTGTAGCAGTAGCAGGTATAACTCAGCTGATTTGGAGCAGCTTTCAAAGCCAAGCCTCCTGGACCGGTTCAAGCTTCTCGGGGGTCGTCGTTAGGTCGAGCGAAGGCAATTCGGGGACCCCTACAGGGGGAGTCTCTCTGTGAGCTTTATTGTGTGCGCGCGATGCAGGCCGTACTGGTTGCAATGTGCAATGTGTAACATCGTCGAGTGTAACTGAGACGTGCGGCCCGATGCAGTCGTTGCTTTGTCTTGCCGGCTCCTCCTCTCCTTATCCGCTTCCTTCTCCAACCCCCCTCGCCTGATGGGGCCCGACACGTGATGCACAGAAACAGCAGCTAGAATAGCCACCTTTCAGTAGCACGCAATGCTGGTGAGCATCATCCCCGTGTTGTCGCCCTTGCCGCCCCATGCGTTCATCCAGGCTTGAGCAGGTGCAGACGGCCTGGGGGGAAGAAAGGAATTCGCCTCAGGGTGCGATCCGCTCCTCCTCCTCCTCCTCCTCCTCCTCCTCCTCCTCCTCCTCCTCCTCCTCCTCCTCGTCCTCCCCGTTTTTCCTCCACCTCCGCTTCGAACGGCCATCGTGGTCTCGCCTCCCCTATGGGGACGCGAAGTAAGACACACTCAGCCGGAAAAGTTGAGCAGATCCCCCGGAACGCAGCACAATCTGCCAACATGGGTTGCTTTTGCGTGCGCGGGGCCGCCAACGAGCGACTCGGAATGACCAGGTTGGCCCTGGGCAGGACTCGCTCCTACGTCGTACCCCCTTTTCCTCGCGCCAGCCTGGGCAGTACTCTCCTCGACAGCGCGCTGAAGGGGGAAGTTGGGGGCGACAGACTGTTTCACAAGGGGGCGGGGCTTCTCAGAATCCCTACGGCCTTCTGAAGAGGCGCCTCCGTCTTCGGAAAAGTGTCACGAAATTTCTCAGAAGGCCGGGGCCTCCTGCGCATTCTGAGAAGTCCCGCCCCCTCTTCTTCCACCCCGAAGCGCGCCTTCAATATTGGTTCGGTCCCCCAGGGTCTGCGTGGCTGTTTGTGTTGGCCCCCAATGGCCGTCAGGGGGGAAGGGCGGGGCCGCCGCGACTGAGGACCAGCCTGCCGCACCGAGAGGGGCGCAGAAGCTGAGGGGCCAGATCACCTTCCAAGCGCCGTGCCCAGCCTGCCCGATCGAGGGGCGGGGAATCAGGAGGACGGGGAGGAGGAGGAGGAGGAGGAGGAGGAGGAGGAGGAGGAGCAGGAGCAGGAGCAGGAGGAGAGGGAGGAGGAGCAGGAGGAGAGGGAGGGAGGAGGAGGAGGAGGAGGAGGAGGAGGAGGAGGAGGAGGGGGAGGAAAGGAGGATGAGGAGGAGGAGGGGGGGGATCAGGAGGAGGAGGACGAGGAGGAAGAGGAGGATACGGCACTGCCGAGGGAAGCGTCGCGCTGTGCACGAGCGCCCACCAAGGGCGCCAAGCTGCTGGCAGCCTGGCTGGCCTGTGAGGAGGCTGGGACCCCAACAAGAGGATCTCGGGTACCAGCCACACAGACAAATATACGGGGGTTAAGCCCCGCAGCCTGGGTGAGAAGGTGGGCTCCCGTGGAGCCTGACCCAGTGGGTCTCAGGGTCTGAGACAAGAAGCGGACGAGGTGCGGGAACTCGACGTGAGCCCTCCATTCCTTCATCCGCAGGATGAAAACCTTGCATGAAAAGGCGTCGGTTGCGCACCGCCCGTTCTGACAGGCGGTGCGTGCTTCCCGGTGGGCAATCAATTAGGAGGTGACCAGCCGCGCCCGTCGTAAAAGCCCCACAGGAAACGCACAGGCAAACATGGCCCGAGGAAACCCAGAGTCGGTGGCCGCGAGCGGCCGTGGAAGGAACGGGGCCCGCTCCTGGCATAGGCTCGGCTGGTACTGTCGTGTCGGCCAGCGAGGGCCGACTTGGGCGCTTGGAGCCGATCCGCCTCCGCTTGTCGGGGAGGAACGTGGGCCCCGAGCGCTCTGGAAAAGAAGGAACCCTGGCAGTGGCTTCGGCCTGGACACTCGCAGCTCCATCCCAGGCAGCAGCGACGGGCTCGAAGCCCACACGTGGCCTGACGTGCCTTTCAAAGCCAGGGGAGGGGGCACGAGGGCGAGGCAAGGAAGGGCTACCCAGGCCCGAGGACGGAGGCGGGGGATCCGCCTCCCCTTGGTCACACACCTGGCCACGCGTGGGGGACTCCGTCCGAGGGCGAACCGATCGAAACGAGTCCGAGGGGGAGCGAGGTCGCACCGCAGCACCGAAGCTGCTGCCCTCATTCGTCGGCATCTGCCCTTCATTGTCAGCCTGGGCGCGCGCAGCGTGTCCAGGAGGGGTGACAGTGGAGGGGTGCCGATGTATGGCGGCGGCAGCGCGCAAACGAGCAGGGCAGGCAAGCTCAGAGAGACGACGACGGGTCCTTTCCAGCTTCGAGCCCTTCCTACAAAAATCGCATCTCCAAATGCTGCGATGGGGGACCTGGGTAAAAACATGGCGCAGGTGAACCGATTCCTCCCTGGGCTCCAGAGGGGCCGAGGGACGCCGAGGGCGTCGACATTTGATGCGGGGCCGAGTGTCGACCCGCTGTTCGCCAAAGAAAAGTCCCAGGGCAGTAGTACTCCATCGCAGGACTCCTGGGCGCGCTTGACCTGGTCGTTGCGCAGCTTCAGCTCTTGAGCGAAGGCGAGGTGCACGCCGTTGCAGTTGGTCAGGTAGTCCTGAACCTGCGGCCAGCCGCTGCCGTTGAATGTGGCAACCTTGAAGTCCTTCCTGCGAGCGCCACGAGGTGCGCGACGGGGCCCCGTGGATGCCGAGGTCGGTGGCTCCGTCGACCGTAGTGCCGTAGTAGTACTGATCTCGCACCTGGATTGCGTCGAACCAGGTAGTGAGTTGTCGTAGTCGATGTGGTGATCCGTATGCTGAGAGCACCCTGCTGCGACACTAGTGACACACCCAGGGGCAACGACCACCCCTTCGTCAAGGGCCCTGGGCGTGACTCGAGCGAGGGTGGGATACCCACGCAGCTTCATCCCCAGGGGGGAAGCCACCTGCCCGTCGGCAGCCACTCTCGTCGGATTTAGCCCCGCAACAACATGCCTCGCATCGAAGTGAGAGTCGTCGTGACGGGCCACGGCGTGAGAGCACCCTGCTGCGGCACTAGTGACACGCCCAGGGGCATCGACCACCCCTTCGTCAAGGGCCCTGGGCGTGACTCGAGCGATCGCGGGGGAAACCTCACACAGCTTCACCCACGAGAGGGGAGCCGCCTGCCCGTCGGCAGCCACGCTCGTCGGAGTTAGCCCCGCAGCAACATGCCTCTCGCCGTGGTGTACGTCACTGTGAGGGCCCACATCCTGAGTACACCCTGCTGCAGCACTAGTGACCCTCCCAGGGGCGTCGACCACCCCTTCGTCAAGGGCCCTGGGAGTGACTCGAGCAAGCGTGGGGGAAGACTCGCACGGCTCAATTTTGGGGCGGAGGAAGATGAGGAGCAGATGGAGGAGGAGGAGGAGGAGGAGGAGGTGAAGGAACTTTTGGAGGTCGTCCGCGGCTTTCGGAATGTTTCGGTAGGCGTTTGGGTTTTTGAAGCTATTTGGAACAAGGGATAAGGATGAGACAAACAGCGAGGAACGACGCGAGAGAAGACGCTGGCCAATTATACTACTATTCGAGATTCTTGGTGCAGGCAAAAGGGAAGGAGCCCGCCGTCTCCCCGCTGTTTACGCCCTGTTGGCGACGAGGTCATTGAATGACTACCAAGGTGCTCATCCTGCGGCTCCGTTCGTGGTGCTTGTTCCGACCCTCTCCTCGGTTCTTGCCTGAGGCGCGACGTTGTCGATCGTCACTGGGCGTGAAGGTAACTAACCGCGCGGCGCGAGGCGCGAAATGAGGTGACCTAGGGGGCGCGAGGCAAGGGGAGCAGGAGGAGGAGCAGTGGAGGAGGAGGAGGAGGAGGAGGAGGAGGAGGAGGAGGAGGAGGAGGAGACCTCCAGTGACGATTCTCCTCCTCCTCCTCCTCCTCCTCCTCCTCCTCCTCCTCCTCCTCCTCCTCCTCCTACTGGCGAGAACGACCTTGGGTTACCCACGCCTGGGCGTGAAGGTAGCCAGCCGCGCAGCGCGAGGCGCGCAGCGAGGTGACCTACGGGGGCTCGAGGGGCGAGGGAGCGACGAGCATTCCTCGCAGAGCCGACCGTGTCTGCAGTGACATGGACGAGGAGGAGGAGGAGGAGGAAGAGGAGGAGGAGGAGGAGAAGGAATAGGAGGAGGAGGAGGAGGAGGAATAGGAGGAGGAGGAGGAGGAGGAGGAGGAGGAGGAGGAGGAGGAGGAGGAGGAGGAGGAGGGGGACGAGGAGGAGGGGCACGAGGGCGAGGACGGGGACGAGGAGGGCGAAGGTCCAGGACGAGGAGGAGGGGGGCGGCGGACGAGGAGGGCGAGGGGGAGGGGGGGGGAATTTATGCGGAGAGCCGAGATCCAACACGCCTCGTCGCTCGGGAAGCCAGAGTACCGCACCGGGGACTTCGCAAAGAGCGTCCTCCCCTTCGGCAGCGGCGACTACAAGGCCTCGGGTGGCACAGCACAGGTGGTCGCAGGAATTCAGGCAGGCGGAGGACTAGCATGGATCGTCCCACAGCGTTCTGGGATGCCCTCTGAGCATTCTGGACTGCTCTAGAACGGCCCAAAAGGTCCGCATGACCCGCTGATTCTCAGACACCACCAAAAGATGTCTTATCAATATTGCATTGTTCTGCCGTCGTGTAGAGTACATTCCTGTTGCTCCGATCGTGCAGAGTCCCCTCTTCGCCTTGGCCCAGCGTGTCTTCGGCAGCTTCCGCTAATCTAGCCGGTTTCGTGGTCCCCGGTTGGTCCGACTCGCCCAGAAAGTTGATTTCGGTTATCATCTCTACAACTCTTTGACCGGATTCGAGTCCGCTGCCAGAGTTCAGCCCAGCACAGACACAAGATTTTTCACTGCTTGCGTGTGATGGCTCCGGAAGTGAATGACGGTCCGCGGGTCGGGATTTGGCCAATGTGGGAGTCCGAACCCGATGTTTGCACGATGCCCTCCAGGTCAGGGTTCGGCGAGGAGGAAGGTGAGGAGAGGAAGGAAGCACCAGGAGGAGGACAGGAAGGTGGAGGAGGCAGAGAGGGAGGAGCAGGGATGCGGGAGGAGCAGCAAAAGGGATGGGCGGAGAAGGAAGGATATCGATCAGCACCAAGAGCCGTCGGCTTAGACACTCTCGCGCAGCAGCGGCCAGCCCGCATCCGACAAGACCGTGGCCATGCCACCTACACTTGTTGTTGCTCCGGGAGAGGAGGGGGTCAGACAACGTGATTGACATGGTTGTGTCTGGAACGGTTCCAGGTTCGTTTCCAGCTCTGCCGAGCTGCGTCATGCATCGGGCGAACGCAGTGCCAGCAGGCACCAGGGATATCAGAAAAATGAGCTGATCACCCGTCCAGGCCTCGAGGTCCCCCCTGCTGAAGAAGCAAGCGATGATTGATTGCTTATATATATGTATATATATGTGTGTCTGTATATGTGCGGCCTTATGTATCTCTCCTGTTTATCTCCTTCCTCTCGCTGTCTCTCTCTCTCTCTCTCTCCCCCCCTCTCTCTCTAACTCTGGAGTCTCGACGCCCCTGCTCCTCGCGCCATCGGCACAGCTGCGCGGACCCCCTGGCTCTCTCCATGCCCTGGCGAAACTGGTGCGTGGCCCCTCCTGCCGCCCACCGACGGAGGAGGAGAGGTTGAGGACGACGAGGTTGGAGGAGGAGGGGGAGGAGGACGGGGAGGAAGAGGCGGAGGACGACGAGAAGGGGAGGAGGAGGACGACGAGGTCGGAGGTTCGACGATCGACGATCGAGGAGGCCGTTCCAGAGGATGGCCTCGGAGACCGTCAGAAATCGATCCAGACAGAAGAGCCGGCCAGGAAAAAACCTTGGGAGGATCATCGTCATCATCATCATTGTCGTCACCATGATCCTTACCATCTTCAACATCATCATCAGCATCATCAACACCATCACATTCATCATCACCGCCATCATCACTACCACCGTCATCATCATCGTGACCGTCGTCATCATAATCACCAAGAAAATGATAATCATCAGCATCATCACCATTCTCATCACCATCATCATCACCCCCG